ACATCTGTGTTCTTTCCTGCAATGATCCTCTACTTCTCATATGCGGGTAGAATTAAACAGAGGGTCCTTTGCTGTAGAAAATTTATAATCATGTTTGGTTCGAGCGACCTGTTCATCGAACAGTTACTTGTATTTGCTGAGTGTCGGCTCCTTAAGTTTAGCTTCAGGGCATGGCAGAAATACTGCATCCTTTCCTTACTAAGTTAAGACAGATTCTCCGAGGAAATATTGATCAATATTTCTTCGAAAAAGATTGCTTTCGTTCGAGTTTTAACTCCGACTATCCGCCATTTTGAAACTGGGCTTTTTAAAAAGTCCGGGAAAATCCGGTAGTGCAAGGCCCCCGCGCGGTATGAAATTAGGCAATACTATTCCACACCACCTCATGTAAAGATAAAAACTACAAAATTCCTTTCTTGGTTTTAAACTCAGCCATGAACCTTCTGGTTTATGCCTTTTTCAAAAGAGACATAAAGAAAGAGTTTAAAAGACTTCTTGGAGCTGTGTTTTAATTTAAAGAAAATATTAGTAATGTTAATGAAAGCCTACCACTTTACGAGCGTACGCGTAACTCGTTGTTGTAGGATGTAGGTCTTTTAAGACGGTGAAAGGCTTGAGAAGAGACTGATAAATCTGTGACTTTTGGACTGAAAGCGAATTGAAATTTGGAAAAATGGCGTATGAGGAGAGAAAACAAGAACATTCGTACGCTAAGAGAATTTAAAATACCAGGGAAAGGACTTAGATCAAGATTCACACAGTGGTGGGTGGCGAAAGTCACATCACATGGAACTTTTTAGTATCGCATTGTAAGAGTATAATTCAATTTATGTCCACATCCTGCTAGCAGAGCCTTTGTTTTGGTGCACTGTTAAAAAAGAAATACTCTGCATGAATCGAGTAAGATCATTCTTGAGGGTCTCTGATAGGTTTTTTGGGATCCGGGATTTCCCTTATTTGCTCGGGATTGGGGATTTTAAAGCAAAATCGGACAAGATTCGGGATGGAAAGTATGCGTGAGAGTTAGAATGCCGAAAATAACCCTCGGCTACGGGATTACACGAAATTTTGGGTCGGGATGACAGGATTGAAGAACCCTACAGTGGGGACCCTCATGGTTGAGGGTCCCCACACATGTTCAATACTCTCGATTAGATTCCAGTGGGCAAAGCCTGGAGTCCAATGGAGTCTGTTCGAAAAATGAAACCGGAAGTACAGTCGAGTCCACTTGAATTACCGGAAGTCTAGCCATAAGATGAAACTGGGAGTGTAAACAATACTTTGAGGAAGGTTGGAAAGTCGTCCGATGGAGTCCATCGTCTGCACATGTAACACATCGCGTTCGTTAAGTCCTAAGTCGAGACTGGCACGCTTAACATGCAACATATGAGTCGGAAAGTCGAAACAAACACGCTATACATGTGAGATTACTGCTCGTTCTTAAAGCGATGAGCCGAAACAAGCACGCTACAAGTCGTTTATTAAGAGGCAATTTTACCTTCTCGCTTCTTTTTGCATAACAGAAACGAAAAAAGCTTCTTCTAATAAAAGCTGCTTTAACTCTTGTTGTAATTTGTACACCCGTCTCAGTTTCTAATAAAGAACGGTCCAATTAAGAATACATTGACAGCGCAATTATTTAGTGAACCAAGTTAACAATAAATTGCAGTAAAACAAGCGCTATTGCCACGTGACGTTCCCCAATTTCTCTACCTCTTGCTAGCGTAGGAATTCGTCAAGTTAATAATTGGAACCCTGACATTTATGCAAAATGTTAAGTTTTCAAGTATATAATCTCGTCGTGCGCGTCTAACGTACGCAGCGCGAAAACTGCGCGTGGTCTCAGTGTTGCAATCTCGGGTGCTCCATATTTCTTACTATATACCTGACATCATGCAGTTGACGTCACGAAGCAATTTGCGTTTCCAGGCAACATCAGGCGCATTATTATGTTTTATTTATGAAATGCTGATTCTGCGACGGTTTATTCAATCACGAACAATTTCTCATGCAAATGACACACGAAAGCAAGCATAACAACTTTAGCTGGATTCACCAAGTGGCACTGAGTTCACTCATGCATGTACACGAATAACTATAATTGAACACTTGCAGAAATTATTTGGTACTTTTTACAGGGATTCAGTGCTATTGAAGGCAGGCATATTCAATAATCATAAGTCATGAGTCATGATTTATGAGTGTAATTTCCTCTTCAAGTTCCTTCCATGTGTTCTGTTAATACTCTGCTTTGTATCAATGATATTTTTGACGCACGCGGGCATGATCAGCCAGCACGCACCTTGGCAAAACAGTTACGCTTTAACCATCAGGTGTTTTCATGTTGCATCTCACAGGGGCGTAACCAGGATTTTTTCGGGGGTACGCACAATTCTCCACATGCCCTTTTCCCCCAACCCCCTGCTCAATGTTCCAAAAGGTGAGATTACTGTAAGTCGAAGCGTTCTTACTGTATACAGCTGTTTCGAGAAAGGTTGTCGGAAGAAATGCGCACGTGACAATACCGAAAGGTAATATGGGATATGATCAATACACTGTTCGTAACGACTGAAGCTGTCGAACCTACTTTTGTTGCTTTCCTTTAATACTCGCAACCATATGTCCGTGGCCTTCCGTACCATTCTTTCAAATTTCTTTGAAGAACATTGCCCTCAAAGCCACCCACAATACCTTTCGGGATTGTCGTGTGCACTTCCGACAACCGTTCTCGAAATAGCTGTATGAAATGACGTGACTGTGTAAACTGAAAAAAAAATCTTTATCGTCTTTTTGTATTCATGAACTGAAGCACGTCAATCGCTTTTCCTAACCTAAGGCTTAAAATATATCATTTATATTTATTAAATATTTAATCCACCAAAGGAAGCCGACTTTTAAATGGGAGTAATTAAAACTAAAAATTAAACAATCCGTTGTTAAATGAATTGAGCCAAACTGTGAACGTAAAATAGTTATATTTTACCTATCTTATATACTTTGCCTTTTTTTCATTATTCGCTTTCGTATCTTATTTTATTATTATTTTTTTCACCCTCGACTTTTTCAGGTACGCACGTGCGTGCCGTGAGTGCGTACAGGTAGCTACGCTTGCTACGCTCCTGATAAATGTATAGTTTTTAATTTTTGATATGCAATTTTACCTTCTCGCTTCTAACTGGATAACAGGAACGAAAAAACACTTCTTTTAATAATTTGCTCCGCAACTTTTTCCTTAATTTGTAACACCTGTCGCAGTTTCTGATAAAGAACTGTGGCAATTAGCAATACATTAACGTAGCAATACTTAGCGAACCAAATTAACAATGAATTGAGATAGGTGGTAACACACGTGACTGACGCTTTCTATCGTTTAATTGACAGATGTCTTTGCACTATTGCCATGTAACAGTCCACATTTTCTCTCTTCCTACCGTTTATTAAAAAAAAGATAATTACAAAATACGACATCATGGCTAATTACAAATAGTGTCAAAAATATTGGAAGTTATAATACAGTGCAGTTAGTACAATAAGGACGATTTAAAGAACTAATAAGAAACACGCACCGTAAATGATGTTATGGGCGCCCACTCTTAAATAAAGCCTTTTGTCTAATGAACGCCCCTCTTATAATAAGATGTCAGGCAGTTTGTATTAGACGTCCCTCTCTAATAGCGTCCCCTGTCTAATAGACACCCCCCCTCCCCCCCCGGCAATTATTCTGAAACGCTAGGAAACGGCAAAAAGGAGTAAAATCATTCAATTTGCCGGTTCAGTTTCTTGCTTAACAATGTATCTTGTTCAATGGCAAGCTCAAAATAAGGGTAAACTAATAATGACAACATATAGTGATCCAAAATATTCTGACATCGATCAAAGTCGGAGATTTGGAAGAGGGATACGGATCTCTTGAAGGCCTTAAGACGTATCAATAGTTGGAGTGATCAGATATTCTGCTATTTACAGTTAACTCTCTTGATACTGAATTTTCGCCCAAAGCATACTAGTTTAACTGAGCTTCAAACGCTTTCCTCTTTTAAACTCCCTACATCTATTAAACGCTCTCCTCTTGGCCATTGGACCCCTAAAATTAAATAAACGCCGCTGGCGTCTGTAAAATCATTTACGGGTATTAGTAAATGTAACCCTCAAATTCATGCAAAGATGTAAATTATAATACTCAGTTTTTTAGTTAATCAGTATAGTTGACAAGAACTTCCTTTAACAGTTAAGATGGAGACCTGGTTCAAGATTCTTGGTTGGTTTCTTTCATTTCTAACCATCATTGGAAATGGACTTACAATCTTCCTCGTTTGCAGCAGACGAGATCTCCGCACCAAAACCAACGCGTTTATTAGTTTTATTGTTTCACTTGCAGTAGTGGATTTCTGTGTTGGTTTGAGCTTTATTCCTTCTCTGTTCTTCTGCGATATTACAAACACCTGCGACTGGCCTCATTATTTGCTATCTTGGTCATCTTGGGTGAATATCATAAGGTGGTTGCTTAGTAACAAGTCTGTTGTAAACGTATGCGTCTTAGTACTGGATCGTTTTATTGCCATCGTTCATCCTCTAAAATACATTACTTTCAGACTCGCTGTCGAATTATCCGAATTATTTTCTTCTCTTGGGTTATACCAGTTAGTTTTTACGCGCTAAAGATTACCCTTTATTATATAGACACGAGTGTTTTACTGGAAAATATTCCACTCGTAAAATTCATAAAAACTACATCCGGGACCCGAGTGGTTTATTTTCCATAATCTCACACGTGAGTTTATCGATGACGTAATTTCGGTCATTTCCCTCTATTATTTTATCGATGTCTTTTTGTCTAATAATAAAAAGAACATTACTAGGCGGCTTGAAGATATGAATTTTATTTTCTCGTGGCAAAAACAATATTTTAGTCACTCGCAGCGCGCGTTCGTAAAATATTGTTTTGTCACTCGAAAATAAAATTCATATCTTCGCGCCACTGTGTAATATCCTCTATTTATATGTTTTATTTCAAAACAATACCTGTCCCTGTCCCTCTTATTTGGCTGACAATAATTTCCGAGTTTCCTCCACGTGTTCTGTTAACACTCTGCTTTGCATCAATGATATTTCACGTACGCAGGCATGATCGGTCAGCACGCACCTTAGCAAAACAGTTACGTTTTAACCATCAGATGTCGTTTAAAATCCTCCACGATAGGTCTGCAGTAATAATGATGGGTCTTGTGATAGGAATGTTTCTTGTTTGCTATGGGATGCATCTGACTTGGCGCTGTGTATTAAAGAAAATAACAAAGTAAACTAAAGCCTACCACTTGACGTGCGTAACTCATTCTTGTAGCATGTAAGTCTTTAATGAACGAGTGTGAAAGGCTGGAGCAATTCAGTAAAAGACTAATAAACGTGTGAGGCTTGGACTCAAAGCGAATTGAAATTTGGAAAAAAAGGCGCATTAGGAGAGAAAACAAGAACCTTTGGACCCTCAGAGAATACAAAATAAGAGGGAATTAGGACTTAGGACCAAGGTTCACAGGTGGTGTGACACGCAAGTTCTTATTGGATTGAACTTTTTAGTTTCACGTCATGAGAGTATAACTTTGTGTTCATACCACGCTACCAAAGCCCGCTTTGCTTCACTTGCTCGATTTTGGCATACTCGAGCACGACGCTGCATCAATCGAGTAACAAAGGTAGCGTGAGCATGTGCTGCTTGTTGCTTGGATATAGTTTGCCGGACCCAGGCTTAATAGCCGTGCGCTTTGTACAGCAGAATCATCGGTTATGACCATCAGTTTGTTAATTTCAGACTGAAACGGATGCTCACACTCTGGATACCAATTTGACGAGAGAAAACAAGATTGACAAGTTCAAAAGTTCGAGGTTCGGTGACGTCATAAGGCTTGGCGCCAATTTTCCTCCGCACTGAGGTTGTTCGCTCAATAGTCTTCGTAATCAACTCTGTTAACGGCGATAGATTCCTAGAATTTACCCAAACCGAACTGAAAGATTAACTGTTCGATATTATTGTTATATGAAGTAATTTCCTTGTTGAGAAAAACACAAGGAAATGTAGTAGTTTTGTAATCTTTCCGTGCAAGTCTATTTCAGCTCAGTCCTGATGGTGTGACTGAAGTTAAAATGATAAAATCGTGTAAAGTGTAAAATGACTTGTTATGGAGAAAGAAAAGGTAGCTATCAAATGTGTCACCTTTTTCGCCCCGGTTACACGAACGTGAGGCTAATTTTCCTTTAAATTCCGCAGAAATCATGACAAAGAAATTAATATTGGTTGCTAGGGAAGCCCAACTGGAGCGACGAGTTGCTTGTGGCTGGAACGATATTAAAATCGTTGCATGCCCAGTGGCCGGCCTTTTTAATTATTAATGCACCTTTGTTGTAATTTGTTGTAGACCTGTCGCAATTTGTAAGAAATATGTCGGCCGAAATTTAGGCTAAAGAGAAGGTACATTTTTTTTAATCAGCTAAGGTTTCGGTTAATTCCATCTGTTAGAACTGACAGGCCAGACTAGTTTAGTTGTAAAGAGAATTTAAATAAAGATCCAGTCAGATCAGAGCTATTTAGATTAAGATCGGCAATGTTGGAGTGTCCCTTTCCATTTGACAAAATTGTTGTCTCAAATACGGCTCTTTTGTAGGAACAATAACCATTTGGTCGGGTCAACTCGATGTAGTTCCACTGGGCAGGCAGAATTTCCAACATTTTAACCGGAATTTTTGTTGTATTGGAAGCGCCCATTGGCTTTCAATTACAGCACGCAACTATCCTCATTTTCCTACCAACTGTGTTATTATAGCTCGGTCAGTTACCTACTGCGCATGCAAAACACATAATTATTAGAAATTACCAAGTTTATGACAAAGTAGGACAATAAAAAGGACTTCTGTCTAGTAACATACATCTGCCAGAGAATAGCTCACAACCTCCTGACATTTTTGCGAAGAGGATATTTTTCTTTTATCTGTAGTTAATAAGTACGGATGGAGACCGGGTTTTGGATTCTTGGATTGGTTCTTTCGTTTCTTGCCATCACTGGAAATGGATTTATAATCTTCCTCGTCTGCAGCAGACGAAATCTCCGCACCAAAACCAACGCGTTTATTGTTTCACTTGCAGTAGCGGATTTCTGTGTTGGTTTGAGCGTTGTTCCTTCTTTGTTCGCATGCGACGTTACAAGCACCTGTGACTGGCCTCAGGTTTTTCTTTCATGGAAAGATGTCGTAAGGTGGCTGTTTAGCTACTTGTCTGTTTTAAACTTGTGTTCTCTGGTGCTCGACCGTTATATCGCCATCGTAAAGCCTTTTAAGTACTTAACTTTTATGAGTCGATCTCGTGTTATTCAAGTGATAACTTCCTGTTGGATAGCGTCATTTACGTTGGTTGCGTTCAAGACCGCACTTCGGCTTTGCTGTGAGACCCCTCTGACCAGTATCGTTGCAGTTGTGGTTTTAATGATTTCCATGGAAATCGTTCCATGCGTTCTGCAGATACTCTGTTTTGTGTCAATGTTAATTCATGTAAGGAAACAAGATCGGTCAGCATGCAACCTAGGACGGATATCTTTTAAAACCCATAACGAGAAGTCTGCAGTAATAATGATGGGTATTGTGATAGGAGTGTTTGTTGTGTGCTACGGAATATACTTACGTTGTAGTTTAGTAGTACTATCCGACACAAAAGCATCATGTAAAGATGATCAATACAAAATTCCTGTATTGGTTTTAAACTCGGCCATTAACCCAATGTCTTATGCTTTTTTCAAAAGAGACATAAAGAAAGAGTTTAAAAGGCTTATCAGTCAGGTGGTTTTTTTTAAGCGGAAAAGTAACCGAGTAGAACCTTCCACTTGATCATTTTTGAAGGACATAGATCTTAATATTAGTTGGCAGAACTGCCTTTGATAGCGGATTGTGTCAGGCATCGCAGGCGGCAGTTTTGGGGACTGCAAATCCCTGGCGGTTTGTCTCAAATCATAGTTTGGAAGTACTGGTGTTTAAGGAGGGTACAAGAACCAATACAAAGGACGATGAGAATACAATCCAAAAGAGACCTTACTATCCGAAAACAGAGACGCCAATGAATACGTCGCTGAAAAATAGACTTCGCGTCCAATGAAACTTTTTCGCCGTCATACCAAGTCGCCCAGTGAATTGAAAGTACGTTGACATGTGTTAGGTTGGAACTGAATATTGGAGGCCCCGTTTCAGAGAGAAATAGTAAATAAATTTATCGCCTTGTCGTTCCAGTTCTTAAGCCCGTCAACTAAAAAAAATTGACTATTCCACGTTGTAGTTGTGTAGGGACAACGAAGAAATGTAAAGAAAAGCTTGATGCACGTGCCGCCAGAACTGTCGTTTTGCTCACTCAAGCCTTTTGTATTTTAGGCGTTCTCCTTGCCGTCGCCGTCGTAGTTTCGTAAGGTCCCTACATAAGTCAGATGCTCTTGAAACGGCGATTCCGAGGTATAGACGAAATTTCTAATTGAAACTTTTTGTTTCAAACCAAATTAAAGTATTTCTTTTTCCTTACTTCATTTTCCACATTAATTATTGTAGTCAACTCTTTTAAGTAGTTTCCTAGAATTTAAACAAGCATGAAGTATTAGACGTTTTTGTTTTTGTACTGGAAAAGAATTGTATTATTTTTTCCTTTCCCTGAAAACTGATAGTTTTTACTATCATTCCTCAGTCCATGCCAGGTGTGAATTAAATATTAAAAACTTTAGGGCACGATCTGTATGATACATACAGGCAACATGGATAATTTTTTTCAGATTCCCATTGATCCCTATGGTGCGGTGAAAAGTCATCTTTTTCTTCAAACAAGTTTTAACGTAGTTTTGCCTTAAGTTTAGAGAACGTCTTTGGACGATTTTGTAATAATTTGTAATATCCGTCTTGATTTGCAGTACGTAGTAGCTGTTCTAATTAGCATTCAGAAGGATCCTCAATTGCTTTCCTGTCATGTTCAGGGGTCTCCGTACCAATGAAAATAAAGCTAAATAAGTTGACTGAAAACAGGTATTGCAAAAACGAAACATAATTAATGCAAATAAACTATTGCAAAGAGATCTATTTCTGCGTCTCACATGATGAAAAGTGACGCTAAAGTTATTGCCATCTGGATAACACCCTCCGAGATCTGCTTAATTCTTCATATCCCACGAAAGCCGAATTCATTAATTGCTTTATTATTCATTCAAAATAATTCCTAGTTTAAAAACATAGCTAAAACATGCTTACTTGCATCGACGTTAAGTTTATCTTCGATAGTGTGCGTTCAGGTTTGTCCAGCTCCGCAAATATTCTCCAAATAGCAGCCCAGTGTCTGTTTTTGCTATGTTTTAGCCATTATTTTGCCTAGTGCCAGCTGTAGTTCTTACTCTTGAAAAAAGTGAAGTGTCCGCCATTTTAGATTTCACAACGAAAACAACTCAACCTCGTCCCCAGGTCTTCTCGGTTAACGGTGCATTAACCTGTAGAGGGCTGCATTTTTGACGTCATTTCCTCGTTAAACTCAAAATTCTTCCAAATTTGGTCATCAGTAACTGGTTATGGTGAATTATGTGTGTGCTTTTAGCCAATCAGAATTAGGGAAATATTTTGAATGAATAATAATCAAACTTAAGAAGTATCCCTTGTAAAAATATCCAGTCTAGCCATCTTAAGTTTCCTTATTAGCTAACGCTGTCGTACTAGTTTGCCTTTTGATGTTTGAGTCTCTCAAACCAAAGTTGAGAGTGTGAATGGGGTTAACCGACCAGGGACAAAGGGTGAAAAATACTACCGACTACCGACAAAACGAGAAAAAAAAAATTACTGACTACCGACAGAAAAAAAAAATTAACCGACTACCGACATGGACCGCCAATATCGATATTTGTTTTCAGAAAGAAGAGATCAGAAGAGCTTTTTGTATTTTTTCTTGCTTGCGAAGTAACCACATTAAAGGTACAGTTGGCTCCCGATAACTCGAACCTTCAAGGGAAATCTAAAAAAGGTTCGAGTTATCAGGAGTTCGAGTTATCGGGATTCCGAAGAAAATAGCCGAGAGTAAGGTAAAAGGCAGTTTTTACTGCACAGCGAACATTTTAATCCCATTTAATTGTAGAAATGTTAAGTGAAAATTGAAAGATACTTCTAGATTATAAATCAGAACGTAACGTAACAAAACATAGCCTAAATAGAGCATGCGTTTTACTGTTTTGAGAAGAAAAGCTGCTTCACGTTAGTCTGTGACAATCAACAGCAGCCTCCACAAGTAAACTATACTCCTACAACACGTCAATAGGAAATCCAAAATTCAATGTTTCGGACGCCCGTAGACGGCTTTTCCCCGACCTTTTAAGGACTCAAAACATGGTTCCAGTTATCGATGGTTAAATTAGTATAGGTAATAGCATGATTTGTAGTGATATTTGACATAAATACCACGAGTGCACGAGTGATATTTCGAAATTGTTATACGTAATTTCACGAGCCGTTAGGCGAGTGAAATTTGAGACAATTTTGAAATATCACAAGTGGTATTTAGGCCAAATATCAAGTACAAATCATGCTATTAGTTGTTTATACTACTACCCACAAAAGGTTTGTAATTTTCACATGTAGGTATTTCAAATTAAGCTGAAATACCACTGCTCTAAGCCAATCAAATTGCAGAAATTTCTGATGTAGTAGTATATTATAGAAAATGATCTGAGGGGAAACGGAAATTGTTTCGAGTTAGCGGGAGTTCAAGTTATCGAGGGTTCGAGTTACCGAGGATAAAATTACAGTGAATGTATGACGGAAATCCAGGGGTTATCGATTTTGGTTCGAGTTAGCGCGAGGTTCAAGTTAGCGAGGGTTCGAGTTATCGGGAGTGGACTGTAATTATAGAATTTCCTGTCATCTTCTTTCTTTTTGGCCGGGAGAGCGCTGGATCATTTTGCAGAACAATTTCCGGTACTCGAGCCCACGAAACCTCCCGCTGTAATATTTCAACCACGTTGTCTGTCCAGCCATGAGTGGAATCATAAAAGTATAGTGAGTTTTTTCCAAAAGGTCGAAAAAGTCACAATCGAACGCCACCGTAGCCGTGTTCCGGTCGACAAAAAAACAAAAAAAACACAAGAGTATTCGAATTTAAAAAACATCAGACAAATATTTCAAGTTACAAGTTTTACACGTTATATGGGACTCAAAGTCTTAAAACTAGGTAAATTTTAAAACAAACAATAATAATTAACATGCATTTTTAATTATTAACTGAGATTTACCGACAACCGACAAAGATCGAAATTTTAACCGACTACCGACAAAGTGACTGAATTTTAACCGACAACCGACAAGTGGACCCCCCATTCAGACCCTCAAAGTTCCTTTCCTTGAGTCGACTTGGTGTTTGCTTTTTCACCCATAAGTTTTAAATTGTTGTCCATTGGTAAAAAGGGCAAAAATAAAATAAAAGTTTTCGTAAAATCACAGTGAAAGGACGTACATAAGTCATAGCCTTTCAAAATTTAGAACCATAGGAGAAGCGAAATTGTCCTTTTTCATAGTTCAAATCGGTACTTTCTCGGCTTTTATCGATTTTTATTGTGGTTTCGCGGTTTAGAAGTAACGTCGATAAAATGATAGGTCAAAGAAAAGTCCTCTCCGGGACCACGAGTTTCAAAACAGTTTGCTTTGATTTTTTTAGACTTAAGTGTTCTTAAGAGCCAATGTCTGTAATTTTCGAGAATCGGTTGACAGTCGTGAATTTTTGAATGTCTTCATATTTTGCTCAAATAATCTCTATAGTACACTAGTTTCAAAAATCACCTTAAAACTTGTAACAGCTTTTTATTTTTTCAGGAATCAGGTAAAGTTTGAAATACTCTAAATCGGCGCTCTTTCGAGTATGAAATTTGCGAAAATTGAGCATTTTCCTCCCTGCTCGTACATAAAAACGGAATAATATCTCTTGATGAAATCAAGTCACAAAACAGACACACATTTTTACTTTATAATTCAGCAATTAACTTTAAATGAACCGTTTAAATGAGACTGTACCGGCCGCAAGAAGAAACACGGTTTCAGCACTTTTCAAAAATGGCAAATTTGACCTAACTTCACCATCGTAAAAACCCACTTGGTACGTGCAATTTCAGTATGAAAGATAAACTGTATTAAAGCATATCCTTTGCCGTTGTTTGTGTTAAAATATTTCTGGCGGGATTCCAAATGCGCACCGTCGAGAGACCAAAACCTGAAGGGTATTTTGACACCAGGAAAGCGCGTGCAACAAGCAAGTTTCGACGCTTGGAATATTAATCCTTTGCAAACATAAGTTACTTCGACATTTAAACCCTAGTCAGAGTTGTAACGGTTTCAGATTATATTTCGGCGTTTCTGTCCGCGGTTTAACATGATTCCTTTCAACTGATTTTTGCGATAAACCATAATGAAGAGACACGAATACGCAGTTCAAATCAAAGTTCGTAGAGAGGAATATTGTCAAAATACTCGCTTGTTATAGTTTAAATCGTATTGAAACCTTAAAATCAGAAAAGTTATTTACTTACCTGAACTTAAATGCTAGACGGGGTCACAGTACCGCTAACTAAATTCTGCATCAAGGCAGATTCAAAGTTAAGTTTGTGTATGTTTTCAATCTGTCAACACGAGGAAAGATAACATTCCGGAAGTGCGTGACGCGTAACGCGCCGGAAAAGAAATTGCTGGTATACGTGTTTTACGGTGCAAGTCTTTGTTGTATGTTCGTATAGCATCTCGCATATATTCAAACTTGGTTTGTGGCGCCTGTGGCCCCAGTAATACTGAATGTATTGCGATCATAGAAAAGATGTCGTGAGTCACTGGGTATGCTCCTGACTTGTTAGTCACGTGAGTATGTTAATGATAGAAGTAAGGTTTTCTGCATTTACGTTAGGTGACCTTTGTTTGATCCACGAAATTGGCGCATGAACTTAAGAGTTTTTCCTCACCACCGCTAAATGTTTGGTTCTGGGTGGCGGTGCAACAAATCACGTGGTACCGTTCTAGATCAGGCTACTGGCTGCTCATAGAGGGGTCCATAAAGGCACATTGATTGATGACTCTGTATGGCCTGAAGGAAATGATTTACGCAGACGTTTTCTGAGCGACGAAGGTGCAGCTTTTACACTCCTTTTTCGAAAATAGACGAGCACTCAAGCGAAGCGAGCGCGCGAGAGAGAGCCCCTTGCGCTAATAGTCAATAAATCCCATGCGGTTTTTATTTTCATACGCGAAAATCGACGATCAAAGAGAAAATAGATCGACGATCTCTAAAGAAAAAGTAGGGGGTCTGTGAACAGGCTACGAAAGTGCTTGCTATTATTTTAGTGAACTTTACAAGAGGTCTCAGGTGACTTTGCTAACGTCATGAAAAGTCTACTTAGCTTGTTTAAGTTTAGCTAGGGCAAGAGGAGGAGATGGGTGGGTTGGTACACATACAAAAATTCAAGTCTTTATCACTCCACTGAGAGCTAACAGACTTTGTTTGATCCACAAAATTGGCGCATGAAAATAGAAGTTTTTACTCACCACCGCTAAATGTTTGGTTTCGGGTGGCGGAGCACAAATCACGTTGTACCGTTCCAGAACTGCCTACTGTCTGCTCCTTTAAAAGGGGTCCGTAAGGGCACATTAATTAATGACTCTGCGCGGCCTGAAGAAAATGATATACGCAGACGTTTTCTGAGCGACGAAGGTTCAGTCTTTACACTTCTTTTTCTTTTCGAAAATGGCCACGGACTTCTCCCCTCGCCCTTTGCTGCTAGGCAGTCGTTTTTGCCTGAGGGATACCACCACGAAGGAGTTTTAGCACACAGGTCTCTGCTGGTGCAGACCTAGCGAAAAGGGCATTCTCCAACTGAAATTTTAAATCGATATGAAAGGCTATTTTCTGATTTGGTTAAAAGTTGATAAGTAAAATGGCTGAGACATTTTAAAGCATTTTTTCATTTAGGCGACGGATTTTGACGTTATGAAAAAGAACTTGTCAGTGAATTGGTTTATTTTCTAGCCTGCGAACAAGTGCCGGGGGGTGGTGGCGGAGAGAGCCAGGTGACTATTCCTTTTTTTAAGCGGGAGCTAGCATGTACGTGCATTCTGGTCTAACGCCATAATGTGTAGACTGGCCTTTAAGCGGGGGGGAGATCAGATCGTCAACAGCAGGTTGAGGTCTAGCCAGAAGATACCTTTGCTGCAGAGGAGCAAAGCAATACTACTTTCAGTAATTTAAACATGTTAAATACTTGTATTTCGCTCATTAAATGTGTCCATTGTCCAATGTCGATTTGTGGTTTTTCAGGAATGTTCTTTTGCGGAGCATTGGACAATTTTTCTTAAACCAGTTTTTTACTCGTTTCCATTTCCCTGCTCTACCTTCATGCTGCATATGGTGTACGTGTGTACCTCAATTCATACTGAGGTGATCGATAGAGAAGTCTATACGCCAAGCGGGGTTAAGATTAGTTAATAAAAACCAAAGGCTCAGAAGGCTAAGTGCAATGAAAAGAAAACTAGTGTGAAACGTTTTGCAGACTCGGCTTACTCTATTTGTTTTCTTTCTCTGTTTGAGTTTGGGCTTGTGCATCCTAAAATCAAGTTTAGTTCGACCTGTTTTGGGGAATATAAAATAAAAAAATAAAAAAAAAACAGTGTTAATTGTCATTTTATTTTTTCTTGTACACTCGTGCGATGATTTATCCTTGTCTGTACAGTTGCGTGACAAGACTCAAATCACACACGGGCTTTCATCACGCAACACAGGGTTTAGTCCGTGGCTAAACGACGGAAGATTTCAGTAAACTGCGGCCACTTGCAGTTGAAACGACTGGTAACTAAATTCTTATAGATCTCGTATCTCATTTAGAGCTAGCAAGCCGTTTCTAGCGGCTTCATTTTAGGTGCAGAAACTCGAGGTCAATATTTACACTCAACACGAAATTAGCAGCCAGAGCAGCGCTGTCTTTTTCAGCTACTTGCGTGCAATCAAATGCAGGGTTAATCTACTTAGTTCTTTTTTATTACCATCAAATTGAAAAGTGTTTTTCAAAAGATTTTAAGAGCTTCCCGTAATGTGCCCCTTGTAAAAGAAGTTAAGTTTGCAAAAACGTTTGTGTGCTTACACTTGCGGCTAGTTTGTTGCAGCGTTCCAACGTGCGAAACTACCCTGCACGTTTCGGTGTCTCAGCGACGCACTTTTGTAATGCCGCCAAAAATTTTTTAACACAAGAAACGGCAAAGAATGTACTTTAAAATAGTGTTTGTTTCATGTTGAAATTCTATGTACCAATTGGGTTTTTTTGATGGTGAAGTTAGGTCAAATTTGCCATTTTTGTAAAGAGCCGAAATCGTGTTTCTTCTTGCGGCCGACACAGTCACATTTAAACAGCTTATCTGAAGATAATTGCTGAATTATAAAGTACAAGTCTGTGTTTGCTTTGTGACTTGATTTCATTGAGAGATATCATCCCGTTTATATGTACGAGCGCCAAGAAAATGCTTAATTTTCGCTAATTTCATACTCGAAAGAGCGCCGATTTAGCGTTTTTCAAACTTTGCCCGATTCAGGAAAAAATAAAAAGCCGTTACAAGTTTTAATGTGATTTTTGAAATAAGTGTATTATACAGATTATTTGGGCAAAATATGAAGAAATTCAAAAATTCACGACTGTCAACCGATTCTCGGAAATTACAGACATTGGCTCTTAAGTCGTTGACTATAAAGGACTCTTAAGAAAACAAATATTACTAAGACATTACAGCCTATAGAAAAGCTGCGCAAAAACGGCATGAGCCCAGTGGATAGTGTAGGACCTTAATATGGGACCCAGGTCTTGCGAATGGGACAATTAACAGACTGAAAAAAATGTTAATATATCGAACATGGGCTATTTATTTTGTCACTAGACTATATTTGTTTGTTAGATTATTATATGTAAAATATCCAAATTCTATTCTTTCTAATTGGTCCAAAATCAAACCGTATAACATAGTTCCATCTCATCCGGTCAATTTGTCAATAATTTGATGAAATCAAAATATAATAATGCAATTCCCAATTTAAGGCGAGGACTACGTTTTCCTCTGCTCTGATAAGTATCCAAGTCACAATTCTCTCAAGGCATTGCAATAAAGAGGAGTCCCGAGATTTCTTTACTTGAGGATATTTCATCGGTTTATTCTACCCTCAGGGTTCTCATTTCTACAAAGTTTTACGAGTGATTTAAATAAAACGTAAGCGATACCGGTAGTGAACGAAACGCCCTCTGGTTATAAGTGAAAAAAAGTGAATGGAACTACGTCCGCATCCCCATTAGGACGACTTTAATTAACCCAGTGGCCCTGTTACTAGGGTTTATTTTTCATGCATTGTTACGTAATGAATACTGTGGCGATCAACTGAAGAGTTCGTTAGACGAAACTAGTTTTGTGAGTCGCCATATAAATTTAACAGTGTGTTGAAAGTGGAAACAAATTGGGTCTTTTTCTCTTGTATATTGAAATAATGTTACGTAACACTTTCTTATGTTCGACAAACAAAATTTCACAGCCGCTGTAGTTCACTTTGGGTTTTATAATTCAAGGCCATTTATAATAGCCCCTGCATTAATAATACTTCCCTTTCTTTTCTTACTAGGAGTAATCGGAGCTTAGGAGAGTGCGTTCGATATGTTTGTTAGGCGAACCGTAACAGTTGAGGGGGAAGGGTGGTTGCGATATAGATAAATATGATTATGGTATATTTTGAACGAAAGGGTTGCGTACAGCGAAACCTCTATTTAAACTGTGTATCACGTTATAAGAAGGTTTTGAAAAGATGTCGTATGGTTCGGTGTCAAGTGCTTGTAATCGGAGGAGACATTGGCTAGAGTGCGTCGGGCGTGTAAATAGAACATTTTGTTTTACTGGCGTGAGTTACAGGGCGCAGTTGCTAAGGCCGATTAGTGCTTAACCCGGGATTCTTTTTCTTTCTTCAAAAACATTTCTTCGGATAATTTCCTCTGTTATTTTTAAGAGCATCTAATCATCAACTTATTGACAAAATGAATTACATTGAATTTACTGTTTTAAAAGCTTTCACATCTGAATTCAAACTTCGCACTAACCCTGTCAAAGCCTTCAATGGAACGTGTGTGCGGCTCACGTCAATGACTTTTCCAGTAATTTGGTCGAGCGTGTTGATTTCAGTGACTAGAGAGTGATTTGTAAGTTTTTCCTAATAAATAACATAGAGTTAAAGTGTTCGTTTGTCCGGTGCCGAAATATCACAAGTCATGATCAAATGGCGCCGCCGAGCTGTTGATTTACTAGGGAGTTTAAGCAAATCGCTACGGCGACCGGAAGTAAAAAAGCCCCGAAATGACGCAGTGCGCATGCTTGGAAATGACCTTTCTCCGTAGCGCCAAATCCTGCGACGTGAAGAGCTGTCTTCTGGCGTAGTCGCTACTACGTGAGTATGAAAGTCGACTCTTCTCCTATTTTTCACGATCACTGGTTTTAATAGCTATCAAAGATTGTTTTTCACTTTATCAAGAAAGTATTCGAGGTTTCTGGTTTTTCCAGTGAACGTTTTCCTTCCGTTTTCTCAGTTTGAGATTTCGATCCTCAAGCGAGTGTGCCATGAGTTCTATGCCGCGCCATGGCCGCAGAAAATCCGCCAGTACAAACAAAGGCTAGACGAAAACCGTAAGCACGACTGTTAGCAATAAAGCTAAATGTCATTGAAGGTTGTTTAAACAAGAATAGAATAGAATATCTAAAACACTGAATTTGTTGATTTGTTGTTAAATGCGGTACACAAGAAGAAACATCACTAGCAGCTTACTCCGATCTTCAACTGTAGTTTTATGTTTTGTGTACGAATCGCCCTCTGATGATGTTTACTATCAATATTCTTCTTAATAATATACAATACAATAATATACAATATTAATAGAGCGCTAATTCCAAATGGTCCAAAACGAAATTTTTAAATTGGCCGTTTTCTTACTTGACCACGTGCATCATTGTATTCTGTTGTTGATAAATTATAGCGAAAAAGCAAGTGAGCAATTCAAGAACCGAGCTTGAACATTGGCAAGCTGCGAGACGTTCTCTCCCCGGGACATCGCATCCACGACCGCCGTAATAGAGGTCGCCGTAGCGATTTGCTTAAACTCCGATCCCTACTTTGTGGCACAACGGCTGCCGAGCTACTAACACAACTCGGTAGATTTACTTTGTGGCACAACGGCCGCCGAACTAGACCCGGTTTGATGCATGCACCAGGAGTCGCAGACATTTTCCAAAGACAGTGGTGAACCATGCTGAAAAATATCAAGGCTTAATCCGAAGTAAAATTTAACAGCAAACTTCTGAAAGATGAACGTTTTGGACGATTCAGCAAACACAGATCGATGTACGCTTTACGAAGATTCAGCAAACTTTTTAAAAGATGAACGCTTTACTAAGACAGAATATCAGACCTCAGCAAATCTTTGAAAGATGAACGCCGAGGACACAAGAATCACCACACGAGTTAGCGCGTGAAAGCTAGGCAAAACGTAAGCAAGCGCCTCAAAGCAATGCAAATGTGTGTCGACGACGACGAAAATGCAATCTCAATAATGCACAGGACACTGAACACAAATTAGGGCTTGCGTTCTCGTACCTCGAACGCAATAATGCTCCAGCTGGTACTTTACTACATCATAGAAATACACTAGCTATTTTTCTCATCAGCGTGCTCGATGGGAATACTATTTATAACAGCTAGAATATTCGCCTATTTAAATTCAATAGGGCGCGCGTGCTTCATATTCCTATTGAGCACGCTGAAGACGTCTTACTCAGTAAACTGTATACCTCGAGTTCTTGTGAGCTTAGCAATCCTCCCAAGACGTCTCTCAAGTGCATCCATAGCTCAACAGTACACGATAAAGCGTTAACCATGTGTTTTATAACGAAAATTTAAGAGAAAACGTTTGAATTTGATAATCGATAATAGGGAAAAGAGGTGAGTGTTGTTGTTGTTGTCATCTGTGCGAGCTGTACGGGCTATGACGTGTGCAAATCATTCTTTGCAAAGTTGTTTCTTTCAAAAAGAATTTTTTGGTGAATCAATACTCTGCATACGCACGCTGACGCATGAACTAAGGGAGTGGTCATTAACTACTGGGGGCCGGGGGAGGGCTGGTAAATTTTGGAGGAGGGCCGCCCATTTAGGGAGGGCTAAAATTTTCTGAGCCCGCATTAAGGGGAGGGCTACAATTTCTCTGGGCGCCTTTGGGCGATGTGCGCGTACAATTAAATGGGTTTTGTGCTAGTGAAATATTCAGCACTGCTTGAATTGACGATAGGCGTGCAAGTAATATTAACAGAATTGCATACTCAATACTGAATCACACGGTTAAAAAGCATTCTGATTGGCTGGAGATGGGCAGTGACTTCTCGCGGAATCGCTTCTAATTTGCTTGACTTTGAAATGGCTTTGAAAACAGCGCACGGTTTTAGTTTGGCTTTGTTGTTTAATCAACGCCATCGTCATGTGATTTTCCTGTATTATAATATATCTGAATGGCAGATAATTTCATGAAAGCCCTTCTTAAAACGAGCCACGATCACAAGTGCACGGATAGTTGATGATATGTTATTATAACTGAAAATGTATTTTTTCATGTTATGACTGGTACTCGATTTGCATTTGTTTGTTTGTTTGTTTTTTTTTTTAACTCATAGTGGTCCAGTTTATACTAATCCTTTTACAAAACTCACTAAGTCTTAAACAGTAACAGGAACAGAATGTTTTTCTTTTTCAATAAATGCAACATAGACCACGCAATATGACCGAACTTGCAGGACCTGGAGGGGTAGAGCAAGAGCTGCGGACTTTCCCTGAATAGAGACAATTTTCCTCTTGCTATTCGCTGATAAGTTATTATGCACAATTTATTCACTCTTCAAGTTGAGTAGAAGACAGGAATTCAATAAGTGACAGTGGGACTGTCCATGGGTTTCTTTACTTGGTGCAGCATAAATGAGTTTTGTAAATATTGTGAATACTAACACTTTTTTTTACTCCAATCCAAAAATTGTCTCAAAGTTACGCTCATATGGATTCTCACGATGCAACATTTGAATACTCAAAATGTTATTACATGGGAGGGTTACAATTTTTTGGGCACACATTTTTGGAGGGGGTAGGATTTTTGGGCTGTTAACCTAAGAGGGGGTAAAATTTTTGGGACCCCGCTTTTGAAATAATAGCACCCCCCCCCCAATAGTTAATGACCGCTCCCTAATTGTTAAATTGTTATCCGTCGTGTTTTATAGTCTTCGGCAGTAATTAGTTCTGCTATTTCATTTTCTTCGCAAAACGTGCCAAAAATTTTCCGCCATTTTTTTTTATAATTATTTGTTTAATTGTGTAAATTATCTAAATATGTAAACAGTTGTCTTTATTATCTCTTCTATCTCTTTATATCTTTATTATCTCTTTATATCTCTCTATCTCTTTATTGGTCAAGAGGTGAAGAGAATCAACATAAAATCGTCAGAGGTCTATAAACTCACTATAGCAAGCTTTTAGTTATAGGGAGAAAGGCAAAAATGCATTTTTTTATTACAGCTATCAAAATTTGTCATACTCATATTCGCCCCACTCAAACGAGCGAAACTATTTTTTCTGTGGATTCTTTAAACTTTGTGATAAAGGAACTCGGTGGACAACCTAATCCCCGGAAGGAGGGTACTTCCACATGGTATATATTGTGACGTTTTGTAGGGTATGGTTTTCGAGCATGCAGTTAAGTCTGGGATTGGGTATAGAAATCAGAGAGCAATTCTTGTATAGGGAGGTATTTGGGAAGTTTAGTTTAGTACAGTGAGCAAAATTCAGCTGAACCAGGAGTATAGGCTAGGTTTTCCAGGGTCCCACCGTCACATTACCACCCGAAAAATTTCTCAAGAACCCGCTGGTTTATGCTTTTTTTAAAAGACAAAAAAGAGACATAAAGAAAGAGTTCAAAAGACTTTTCGGCGCTGAGTTTTAAAGAAAATAACAAAGTTAACTAAAGCCTACCACTTGACGTGCGTTACTCATTCTTGTAGGATGTAGGTCTTATATGAACGAATGCAAAAGGCTTGAGCTACGACTGATAAATCTGTGATGCTTAGACTCAAAGCGAATTGAAATTTGGAAAAATGGCGCATTAGGAGAGAAAACAAGAACCTTTATTTGGAGCCTCAGAGAATATCTATAACATTAGGGAAAGGACTTAATATCAAGGTTCACAGGTGGTTTGAGACGCAAGTTTTTACCGGCTGCTACCAAAGCCCGCACACTGGCTGCTACGAAAGCCCGCTTTGCTTCGCTTGCTTGATTTTGGCAAACTCGAGCAAGACTCTACATCAATCGAGTAACAGAAATAGCGTGAGCATGCATGGATACAGTTCGAACCCAGGCTTAATAGCCGTGCGCTTTCGGCCTCATCGGTTACGACCATCGGTTTTTCAATCTGAAACGGATGCTTGCACTCTGAATACCAGTTTGACGAGAGAAAACAAAATTGACAAGTTCAGAAGTTCGAGGTTTGGTGACTTTAATAAAAGGCTTGGCGCCAATTTTCCTCCGCACTGAGGTTGTTCGTTAAATAGTCTTCGTAATCAACTCTGTTAACGGCGATAGATTCCTAGAATTTACTGAACCGAACTGAAAGATTAACTGTACGATATTCTTGTTATATGAAATAATTTCCTTCTGAGAAAAACATAAAGAAATGTAAGAGTTTTGTAATCTTTCCGTGCAAGTTCATTTCAGTTTAGTCTGCAGGTGTGACTTGAAATGAAAAAAATGCACAATAATTATGACTTATCATATGGAAAAAGGACTCTAGCTATCAAATTTATCACTTTTTTCGCCCCGGTTACACAAACGCAAGGCTAATTTTCGTCATCTATATCTATATATATATATATATATATATTGAAAGGATTATAAAAAACAAGGTTTTATAAATAATTAATAAAGGTTTTTACAAGAATTTTGTGAAGAGGGTGTTTTTTCCACAGTTGAACTGCCTTAAAAAACGTAGCGACATTGTGTTTCTGTTGCACATCGTGATCAGCTTTATTTATTAACTGAAAACCTTTGCATAATTATTCTATTTAGTATGGCTAGAGCTGTTTTTACCTGTTTTAATTTCGTTTGCATGTAATATTTTATTAAACGGGACAGACTAGGCAGATTACCGTGATGCAGTGCTGGCTCATATCTGTCTTCTTTTTTTTTTTCTCGCTTAGGAATGGTTAACGACAACGGTGGAAACGTTCTCAGGCAAATTTAGTAACGCGCTGTACGTGATATTAGAGACAGTCTTTTTTTTTATTAATGCACTTTTGTCGTAATTTGTAGTAAACCTGTCACAATTTGTAAGAAACATGTGCCGCAATTTAGACTAAAGTGAAGGTTCCTTTAATTATATCATTTTTCATCAGGTCTCGGTTAAAACCATTTGTTAGAACTGACAGACCAGACTGGTTTAGTTGTAAAGAGAATAATTAAGATCCAGCCAGATCAGAGCTATTTAGATTAATATCGGCAATGTTGGAGTGTCCCTTTCCATTTGTAGGAACAGTAACCAAACGCGCAGAGGCTTTGCTCGGGTCGATGTAGTTCCATTGGGCAAGTGGAATTTCCAACATTTCAACCGGAATTTTTGTTGTATTGAAAGCGCCCATTGGCTTAGAATTACAGCGGTTATGACACGCAACTATCCTCATTTTCCTACCAACTGTGTTATTACAGCTCGGTCAGTTACCTACTGCGCATGCGAAACACATATTAGAACTTACCAAGTTTATGACAAAGTAGGACAATAAAAAGGACTTCAGTCTAGTAACATACATCTGACAGTGAATAACATACAACCTCCTGACATTTTTGTGAAGAGGACGTTTTTGTTTTATTTGTGTAGTTAATAAGAACTTCTCTTTTCTGCCGTTAGTACGGATGGAGACCTGGTTTTGGATTCTTGGATGGGTTCTTTCCTTTCTTGCCATCACTGGAAATGGATTTACAATCTTCCTCGTCTGCAGCAGACGAAATCTCCGCACCAAAACCAACGCGTTTATTGTTTCACTTGCAGTGGCGGATTTTTGTGTTGGTTTGAGCGTTGTTCCTTCTTTGTTCGCATGCGACGTTACAAACACCTGCTACTGGCCTAAGGTTTTTCCTTCATGGAAAGATGTCGTAAGGTGGCTGTTTAGCTACTTGTCTGTTTTAAACTTGTGTTCTCTGGTGCTCGACCGTTATATCGCCATCGTAAAGCCTTTTAAATACATAACTTTTATGACTCGATCTCGTGTTATTCAAGTGATAACTACCTGTTGGATAGCGTCATTTACGCTGGTTGCGTTCAAGACCGCACTTCGGCTTTGCTGCGAGACCCCTCTGACCAGTATCGTTGCAGTTGTGGTTTTAATGATTTTCATGGAAATCGTTCCATGCGTACTGCAAGTACTCTGTTTCGCGTCAATGTTACTTCATGTATGGAAACATGATCGGTCAACACGCACCCTAGCAAAACAGTTACGTTTTAACCATCGGGTATCTTTTAAAACCCATCACGAGAAGTCTGCAGTAATAATGATGGGTATTGTGATAGGAGTGTTTGTTGTGTGCTACGGAATATATTTGCGTTGTAGTCTATTAGTAGTATTCGACACAAATGCATCATGCAATGATGAACAATACAAAATTCCTGTCTTGGTTTTAAACTCGGCCATTAACCCACTGTCTTATGCTTTTTTCAAAAGAGACATAAAGAAAGAGTTTAAAAGGCTTATCAGTCAGGTGGTTTTATTTAGGCGGAAAAGTAACCAAGTAGAGCCTTCCACTTGATTATTTCTGAAGGACATAGATCTTAATATTAGTTGGCAGAACTGCCTTGTGTCAGGCATCGCGGGCGGCAGTTTTGGGGCCGGCAATTCCCTGGCGGTTTGTCTCAAATCGTAGTTTGGAAGCACTGGTGTTTAAGGAGGGTACAAGAACCAATACAAAGGACGATAAGAATACAATCTAATAGGGACCTTACTATCCGAAAACAGAGACGCCAATGAAAACGTCGCTGAAAAATAGACTTCGCGTCCTTTTTCGCCCTCATACCAAGTCGCTCAGTGAATTGAAAGCACGGAACATGTGTTAAGCTGGAACTAAAGAGAGGAGACCGCGCCCGAGTTCAGAGAGGGATAGTAAATAAATTTATCGCCTTGTCGTTCCAGTTCTTAAGCCCGTCAACTAAAAAAATATTGAATATTCCACGTTGTAGTTGTGTACGGACAGCGGAGAAATGTACAAAAAAATGTGATGCACGTGCAGCCGGAGCTGTTGTTTTACTCACTGAAGCCTATTGTGTTGTATTTTCGTAAGGTTCCTAGCAGTATATGTCAGTTGCTCTTGAGACGGCGATTCTGAGGTATCAAGCCCACGTCAACAGTAGTGGTAGACGAAATTTCTAATTGAATTTTTTGTTTCAAACCAAGGGAAAGTATTTCTTTTTCCTGGCTTTATTTTCCACATTAATTATTGTAATCAACTCTGTTCAGTAGTTTCCTAGAATTTAAACAAGCATGAAGTGAACGTTTTTCCCTTTGATCCCTATGGGGTGGCGAAAAGCCATCTTTTTCTTCAAACAAGTTTTAAAGCTGTTTTGGCTTAAGTTTAGAGAACGTCAGTGGACGATTTTGTAATAATTTGTAATATCCGTCTTGATTTGCAGTACGTAGTAGCTGTTCTAATTTGCATTCAGAAGCGGATCCTCAGTTACTTTCCTGTCATGGTCAGGGGTCTCCGTACCAATGAAAATAAAGCTAAATAAGTTGACTGAAAACAGGTATTGCAAAAAGGAAACATAAATTCAAATAACTATTGCAAAGCGATTTATTTCTGTGTCCCACATGATGAAAAAGTGACGCTAAAGATGTTGTCTTTACCATGATCTCCTACATTAGCATAATTCGGAGATATCTTCGGAAATTAATTGCTATGCTATGAGACGAAACTGCATTTCAAGACCTCATCATTTTCTTTAGATATGAGCCAGTTATGCATGTCGATAGCATATTTATTCAATGTTTTTATAGCCCTTGAAACTTTGTTTCAAAATATTTCCAAAACGCGCCATTATTTGTTCAAACTTTGCCATGATCGAGGCAACCAAGGGAGGTATATACAAGCTCCCTTAAGCGATTTCTGAAAACACTCCATGGGAGGAGTGAAATTGTCCTTTTTCATAGTTCAAATCGGTAGTTCCTCGCATTTTAACGATTTCTATCGTTGTTTGTTACTGGTTTATCTTGAATTTTCAAGATTCCGCCGGCAAATCAAGTTGAATTTCAAGATTTTGCCTTCAGAATCACAGCCAATTCGCGATCGTCCACGTCTCCCTACTGTTGTAGCGACTCCAACTCTGTTAAACTGTTGTACTTGAGTAGCGACATAAGAAGAAATGTCCCTATTGGCGAGGAGCAAGGAGAAACAGCTGTATTCGCAGGCTAAACAAAGACTCATATCAATAGAAGATTCACTCGCGTATTTCATATTCCTGAAGAGAACTGAAAAAAAAGAGCTCATTTGAAAGCCAATAAATGGTAAAATTTCGAAGCCCTACTTTCATTTGACGACATCAGTCCAGCCTCAAAAAGATTTTTCTTGTTCTTCGGGAATGATGTTGCTTATTTTGAAACACTTCACCACGCTTTCGAGATAACCTCCTGTGTAACATTTCATTGCTACGGCATCACATTTCCAATCAGGTAATGAACCTCCGAGTGCTGACAAGAGATGTCAAAATAGACCAATCATAGCGGAGCTCCCGCGCGCTTCGCGCGCGCGTAGCGGAGCACCATGGGTAACAAAATTTGGTAAACTATCCATCTCAGAAAATTTGGTTATGACGTAGCGTACGTCCGTCCGTACGGACTTTCCGGGTAGTGGAAAGTAGTCCGCATGGACTCTTGGGGTAGGGGAAAGTAGAGATTTTTTGGCGGGAAATCGCATGGCGCAACGCGTTAACGTCGCGCAATTATATCGCGCAACTGGTTTTGAAAAAAAGAAAGCAAGTAGAAAGAGTCAGAGCGAGAAGAAGGAGAGAAAATTATAGTGAAAAACGCCGGCAAGCAGAACGAGACAGAGCTAGAATGAACAGACAAAGGCAACGCGAAAGAGAAATACAAAGGCAAAGAGAACGGCAGCAAAATAATGACATGATGACAGAAAGTGTTGTGTTGATGTCACTATGGCCCCGCGCTATTAACATTTTGATTTCAAACTGATCTCGGACTCGAAAATTCAGCCAGTCATTTAAAAATACAAGCAGGGAAGACAGAGGCTTTTCACTTTTCTCACCATAGTCACGCGTTGATCACGCTCTACCACCGTCCAATTTTTATGCTCTGATTGATCAAAATTTGACAGGTGAGTTCATGCAGAAACTGATTTATACAGCATCTTCAACCTTGTTTACTTTCAGTTTGACAGCTGAAGCTGACAGAGTATTTTGTCAACTTGTAATGTTTTTTACTGTCTTTTTCCACTGGATGCTTAAAATGAAATACAGCTGGTATCAACAGTCTTCTTTGATTCATGGCTGGTTTGTTTATTGAATTTTTGGTCGGGAAATGCGCCGGTTGCCAAAGTTGGAAATCCGATTTCGGATGCATCGCTTTCGTTTTTACCTTGCTGGATGCGGTTTGAAAAGTCCCTCAAGCGATTCTGTCCTTACTTTATAGCTTTCAAGATCTGCATCTCGAATGGTAAGCCTAAGTAATTATTGTATACAGTGTATGTTTGTTTTTTTATATCTAATTCCATGAAGTCGAGCGCAGCTAATGAGGCTAATTTATGCACGTTTGTATAAAGATCTGAGACAATGATCTGATCTAGTATATATAAGCTTACAGAACTTTAAAAAGCCTTTAGTCGATATTTTCTCTCCGCATATAGAGCGGAAAAACGTTCCGAAGAGTATTTAGTTATAATTTTGGCTGTAGAAAGAAAGCTTTGAGCGATTTTCTTGCCTCGAGTTCATCTTTGAAAACAGTAAACACCAGGAAGCCGGCTAAAAGCTTTAAGGATTTTTAGAGACGCTTTAATACTTGTCTCCGTGAATGAAAATTGTTGTCTCTGTAAATGTTTCACCGAATTACATTTCTTTTATTGATTGTTAGTAGTCTCGTACAATTTTAATCGCTTTCCCGTTTGTTTTCAGTCGTTCATAAACAACGCTTGCAGGAGTACTCAAAATGCTGCTCGTATCAAACGCTTTTTAAGATTACACATCGTTATAAAACCATTTAATAAAAAAATAAACACAATAAATTCTTTATTATGTTGAAGCGCGTAACTCTTTTAATGTTCACTGAAAATTTGGCGCTTGTCAAAAGTGAGAACCGGCTGGCCGTATAGGTGATTTTGGAAATTTTTGGAACGGTTTTGCTAAAAGCCCACGCGTGCTTCGTACGGTTCTGAAGATTGAATGAGTGCAATTTGTCTTGAAAAATTGTGAAATACTGCATTTTGTGTGAGGTCTATATAATAAAAACAACGCCTCATATTACTGTTTCAGATGTGATGTATAAAAAGTATGAAATGTTGGTTTACACGCTCCCAGAGTTGTTGGCAAGATTTTGTTCAGTAAACTTGTCGAACGCAAAAAATTCGGCCTGATTTGTTTTCCAAAAATTCGTTTTCCAGGCCTAATCTACAGTGATCAAGAGCCATTATGGCTCTAAAATGTGATCGAAGATAATTGCTATTTTTTGGGTGTATATATACGGCTATCAATTCGATGTAAGATTTTTTTTTCACTCTAAAATCACTTAGCCTTAGCTTTCCCTTAAAGTTAACTGATTTGTGGATTACAAGTTTATTGTTTGCTTTAAATTATAAATCTATTAATGGGAGCTTCGCTTTTAGCCCTGGCTAAATCTATATATTAGACCTAGGGTGTACCAGAATCTGGTATACCGGAACGAGCTTTTGTTAAAAGTACTTCAGGCGTTCCCTCACTCTCACCCGTAACCCACCCGCTCGTCTTTTTTCCCGGATGTATACAAAACACGGATGCCGGGTCCATGGATCACCCCTGTGGTGGTCCAGGGTCCAGAGTCCAGAGTCCTTTCTCTGGTCCAGTCCGGAGTCCAGTCCAGGGCCACTCTACGGAGCGGTCCAACTATGTCGTCCCTCATGGGTGTTCCACCATAAACACATTTTCTCTTTCTTTTTCTACGAAATTCTAAAAGGTGGCGCGGAAGGGTTGATTTTGTTTTGGGGGAGGGAAAGATAGCTATATCCTCTCTTTGGGAGGGTGATTCCGGAGTAATTATTATATTATTTTTAGTAAGTCCTAAGTTCAGAGTCTAGTGTCCCGTGTGCAGACCAGGGTGCAGTGCCCTCGGTGCCTGTACCTGAGCTTTCATGAGAAGCTCTTCTTTTTCTTAACTTACCTAGATTAGACGAAAGACGCAGTGAACTATGGGTAAGCACCTTCAAAAAGATTTCAAAAGGGGGCTACTCTATAAACATTTTCAGACCTAAGTCGAGGGTTTGTGTGCATCATCAATTAGTCTAGGTAATAGCATGATTTGTAGTGATATTTGGCATAAACACCACGAGTGATATTTCAAAATTGTTATACCTAATTTCACGAGCCGTTAGGCGAGTGAAATTTGAGACAATTTTGAAATTTCATTCGTGGTATTTATGCCTAATATCACGTATAAATCATGCTATTTTTCTTTTTATACTACTACCCGCAAAAGGGTTGTAATTTTCACAGGTAGGTATTTCAAATTAAGCTGAAATACCACCGCTCTTAGCCAATCAAATTGTAGAAATGTTTCATGTAACAGTATAATACGAGCCGCTGATACAGAGAACTATATTACGATGCCCAAATGTAGGACTGAAAGACTACTTCGTATTTTCTTTCCAAGTACAATCTTAACTTTAAATAATCGAGTCTGCATAGATGATATCAGTTGCATGTATGACAATTTTCTTTTTTTACTGATCTAGCCGGAGCTTTGATAACGTTATCGTCAAATGGAGCTTTTGCGTTCAACAGTTTAATTATTTGACCAAAAACTGTCTCCAAAGTAGCCATTATAAAAACTAAGAGTGCAGCCATTGCTTTTTTCTCTTCTCCTCCTTTCCTTCTCCTCGCGCTTTCTGCTTTTCTTTTTCTTCGTTACTATATATGATTTTGGAGCTTCTGACGGGCCGGAAACCTGCCTTTTGACACCTTTTCACTCAAATGACTGCAAATTTCGTTAGGTTGTTTTTAAAAAAATCGGCGAGGTATATATATTAAAAATCGTTTTGGAATTGTTGGTAATTCGATTACATATCATCGTCATTATTGTAAACCAGTCCCTTTTTTATACGATTTGCTTGTAATCTTATTTTTAAGAACGGCTTGTAACAACGTTGTACTGATTCATTAATTTGCGATGATGTTGAGATTGAACCTTGCTTACTTACTTAATTGTTAAATAATGGTTACTTCTCGGCTTTCGAACGTCTGCCACGCGCAGGCTCCGTTTAGTCCACTGACTACCTTCTTTTTTCGACCCTCCCATGTGCCTAGCTGAATATTTCTGGATTCAACTCAAGCTACCACTTTTACCCTCTTTATCTGTTATCTTTTCCTCAAATACTTCAAAGCAGGTTATTTGACCGTCGGTTGTATATTTTGCATGAACAACAAGTTCCGACACTTGACTGTCGGGGGTAAGGTTTGAGGAATTGTATTTCACAATTGTACCTATAGCTAATTATAATGTTCTATGATAACAGCAACCGTCTGTACATCCTGTCCTTCACAGTCAGCCTGCTAGGCATGATGGGACCAATTACAACTTACAACAACTTTATTTCAAAATCCTTGTTACAAAATAGAATTAAAACACAACTCTCAAGTAGCAAAGGCTATTCGTGGCGGGTTGTGTAAATAATAAATAAATAAATAAAAATAATTATTTAGATTCCTTAAGAAAAAAAAAACAGTGGTAAGAAAAATGAAGATTAATTAGGTAAGACAATAGAGCACAATCATTACACGAAAAAGGATAAAAGTTAACTGTTAAGTTTGCATGCTTTACATGAAGTAAAATCAGAAACTAGAGAAGCCCGGCCAGTTGAAGTAACAGGTGGAGTGCCAGTCTCTATAAATTAATTGGACTGACTTATTTCGTCAGCGTTATTTGTGAGGGTATAACAATATTTATGAAAATAAGAAAATGCCAAATAACCAGAGAGCTTCTTTAAAAAAACTTTCTGTTTTTTTTTTGGCATTTTCTTATTTTTCAATTCTGTTATTATATTACCTGCTTTATTTTTTTGTTTCTCACATTTCAAACTTTCTTTCTTCTATTACTTTTTGTTTGTTTTGTTTTGTTTTTTTTTTGTTTTTATCTATTTTGTTGTTTTCTTTAGAAAGTCTCAGTCAATCACAAGAAGTGGGTAAAAAATAATAAAATGTAACGAAAAATGAATTAATAGGTATTATTCAAACAAGAATGGCGTCGACGTAGCCAGGAGATAAATCTGTTCATTCTTTTCCCCTGGAAAGATAAAGTATTTAACCAAAGTAGATTGTTTTCGACAAAAAATACGCAGTTAAATTGTTAAAACGCTATCTTCAAGAACGACGAAGAGTTCCCTACGCTGAATAGATACTTTTAAAACCTTTTTGGCCCGAGAAAACAGCGTTTTAATTTCCAAAAGCCTGTCATTTTTAGTCACGAAGTCTTTGCAAAGAGGCAGAAAGGCCATGACATGGAGCTACTTGGAGATAATAGGGAGTTTAAGATCTAACGACGCGGACAACAACTAGAACGTCAAAAAAACAATAGTTTTAATTAGCAAAACAACAACTTCACACGTGCAACACACTTTTTGGTACATTTCTTTCCCGTTTTTGCACGACTACGACGTGAAAATGCCTAATTTTGCGTTTTAGGGAGGACGTAAATAAGTAACGACGAAATTTTATTTCTCTTTCTGAGCTTGAATATGGTCCCTTGAAATTCAGCTTTAGGAGGGTTCGCCTACAATTGACAAAGTACGTGGGTAGGAATAATCACTATAAAGACTGAAAAAACTCAAATTCACTTTTTAAGCGACGTACTTGTCGCCGTCGCACCGTTGGATCTTAAAGTCCCTAATTATTAAGTAAGAGACACACAACTGAGAGCATGCGCACAATACGTCGCGTCAATCGAAAACAAAACCCCATTTACACTAGCAAGTTACAATTTGTGAATAAAAACAGTCGCTTGTGTATCTGAATACGATTTAAAAGACCATATATAATTACGTTCTTTTGCGATGCTCGCGGAAAGGTAAAAAATCCTAACCTAACATAACTTTAAATAAAACCTAATCCTAACCTAAAAATCCTAAACCCAGTGTCATCCACTCACTAATTAATAAGTGCACAAAGTGCTCGACAATTCCCCGGTTTTCATATAACTTGATCTACTGAAACCCTGTTAGGCCAATTAAATTTTGAGGGGTAACTATAATAATTTTTGAGCCAACTCACCAAAGTCTGTGTTTTTTTCCCTCGAGTTCGTTGACGGTTGTTCGCGAGGGAGAGCCGATGCTCGGAAGAAACAGTGGTCGACTGGTAATTTCCATCTCATCTTTTGGTTCGTCACTTCCTCTCTCGTGTTCCTCTTTACCTTTCTTTGGCGAAGATTCAAAAGGCTTGTCGCAAGAGGTGATGTTAACTCTCGCTGTTTTAGTGAACGTGGTAGCAAGGAAGATTGAGTGTTCAGGAAGTAGCCGAGAACATGTGTAAAATAATTAAAATTATTTTATGCATGTGTTCGGCCACTTCCTTTCACAGCTGCAGGTATTTTTCCCACTCAGGTGCACAAATGACAAGCTGCTGCAGGTGGTTACCCGGTCTTGAGGGCACTTCAATGTGGAGAGCTGATAATTGAGGAAAGCCAGGAACTTAAAGGATAGCCTGACCAACTGGTGGTGTTATTATCGAACAGCAGGAACTCGATCGGGTTTAGGTCACGGAAGGAAGCTTGGCTCAGGATGTATAAGCTGTTTGGGGACAGATGATGTTCCGTCTGACAGACTGGATAACATTCTGCGCTACCAGAGTTGTTCGGGAATCCATTTCCGTTTCATTCACCATGTTCACAGGTGCAAGAATTTTGTTGGCGTCTGATACAGGTACTATGACTGCTTCCGAAGATGGTTTTGATGACACGAGGACTCCCTGTCACGCTATAATAGGGAGCTTAAGCAACCACGACGGGAACGGGAACGGGAACGGGTAAAAAGGCATCAGTTTAGATTAGCAAAACAACAACTTTGCATCACGTGCATCACGCTTTTTTTTTTCTTACATTTCTTTGCCGTGAATGCGTACGCACGACTACAACGTGACAGTGCCTAATTTTACGGGAACACAAGACAACAACTTTGTTTTTCTTTTCCTGAACTTTGATAGAGTCCTTCAGAATTCAACTCCAAAATATTTGCCCACATATGACAAATTAAAAGAGATGCAATAAACGCGATAAAGTTTGAGGCAGCGCGAATTCACTTTTTAAATGACTCCGTAGCAGTCGCCGTCGTTGTTGCTAAGCTTCCTAATGGTGAGACAGCAGTACAATCGTGTTTTCCTGCGCTGTTGTTACTTCATTAGTGTCGAGCTCTGTGATGGTCGCTCCTCCAGACGATGGCCCTGCCACTGGAAGTACTTTATACAGCAGTTCATCAGTAATAATATACACTAGGGAGCTAGCTGCATGATTCAGACTTTCGCCTAGGCTGTAGACCAAATCGAGTTACTGTTCTACCCGATCAAGTTTTTGTTGTTTCTGCCGAAGTTCCTGGGCTCTCTGATCAAGCCCCTTTAACAGGGAAGTGCACGAAGTGCACTTAGCCTTCAGCTTGAGGTTTTTTCCTTTCAAATCGTTTAAAAAAGGCTCAAGCGAAAAGCTCACTGCACTTCACTGTTTACTGAATAAACAGGGCAGTACAGTGAGCCTTCAGCTTGAGGTTTTTTCCTTTCACATCGTTTTAAAAAGCTCGAACAAGCTGAAAGCTCATTGCACTTCACTGTTTATTGAATAAACAGAGCAGTACAGTGAGCCTTCAGCTTGAGTTTTTTTTTTTTCCTTCACACCGTTTAAAAAGGCTCAAGCTGAAAGCCCATTGCACTTCATTGTTTATTGAATAAACAGTGAAGTGCAATGAGCCTTCAGCACACCGTTTAAAAGCTTGCACTTCATTGTTTTTTTCCTTTTTTTTTCATCGCTTAATTCCCTAACAGCGTTCTTATGCCTCCGTTTGATGTCTTCTTGCGATTCTTTTAGCCGCTATAACTCTTTTCTCAAATTATTTTCTTTTAATTTTCCCGATCTTTCCAGATCGGTGAGGTTCTTTTGAGTTTTTAACAAATCTTTTCTCGGAAGTGATTATCTTCTTTCAACTACTGTCGATCTGATCGCAGGTTATTAATCACTACACCTTTTAATATGCTCGCAGCTGTATACATACATCTCTACCATCCTTAGTCGACGGAGAATCTTTTCTGCAATGCACAAAAACAATCATTTTTAGATACAAATCACTGATTCTGTATAATCTCTCCGTAAGTTTCAGTTTCGTTTTTCTTTTTCCAAAAGTGAAGTTTTTAGCTAAAGAGTGATGTCATAGAGAATTGACCATAAGTTATTTGCGCGCGCAAAGGCTTGTCTAGAGCTGCGATACTTATGGTCAGACAGAGCATCCGTTGGTTTGTTAAGCTATTGTGATGTAGGATCTAGGTGTTAGGTCAGTATATCGTTCAGTCACTTTTAAAATGTTTTGTATACAATGATTGTTAATCGCAGAAGCCTGCGAGCAAGCTTTTCACAGCGAACGAGTCCGTGATACACGCGAGAGAACTTGCGAGTGAGTCAACAATTCTTTGCGCGCTAGCGCGTTGCTTCTTTCAATATTCTCCACAGTCTACACCAGTACGAGCCAATTACTATCGCCTCCTGACACCAAAATATTTCCAGCATTTTACCAGAACGGTAAAAAAGGCCAAAATTTTGTTCGTCAGACGTTATGGCTTAAAAAACGATGCGTAAAAAAAAAAGCGGTAATTAACGATGTATTTCTCATTATTGCTTATTTCTTTACACAGTTTTTGTGTTATGTAAACTAGGGCTTCAAAGACCACTGCAAAAACCGTGAACGATCAATGTAACGTTGGATCAAACAAGAACGTGATCAGTCGAAAAAGATAAAAATATAATTAAGGTCAAAAAGACTACTGCAGGCAAAGACTGATCAAAAAACGTGAAAAAGGCTGAGGTATATAAACCACGAATATACAGAATAAATACTACTGTAAAGTAATAAACAGAAGTTACATGATATGACTTGGTAAGGTGTGGCTGCTAAGAAAAATAGATAAAGATTACGTAATGATTATAATTCGTCACGTTTATTCATTCCCAGAGGCTTGATGGATATGGCTGTATGAGTGAGGTGCGCCTCACTTGTTTCCTAAGACAATCGCGTTCATGTCTAAGTGTTTCAATACTAGGGATAAGTAACATATGGGAAACAGAATGGCTATTGCTAAGAAAGTGTTCTGAAACTGCGGTTTGGATGTAACTACCGGAGGGGTAAAGTATAGGGCTTCTATATCTAAAAACGGTCCTTGAGGTGGCGTTTGGTTTCCCCAAAATATTGCAAATTTTATACAAAGGTGGTATTGAATCATGTAGATTACATTGAAAATATTGCAAGTAATGTGAGATTTGATTTTGCAGGTTTCACCTGCAGAGTAGAAAGTATAATTGTCACGGCCGTGCATGGTCAATATAGGCGCATGTGGTGCAGTTCCTGCTGTTGCACCGAAAAGAACCGGGAGTGGCCCGGGCATTGTTACAATTATCAGTCTCTGGCAATTGGACTCTAACAAGAATATCGCTTAAATTGTCAGAATGGCAGTAAGATACTATTAGAAGGTTTTTAAAAACATTTCTACAACGTTCTGAGGAGTAGAGGACGTGGGAATGTTTGTGAATAATGTGCGCGACATTCAGGTGGCAATGTAGGGTTATATTTATTAACAAAACGGAGTGGTTTCAGTCTGCGTAGGTTTGTGTTTAAGTGCGTCAGCACGAGGAACGTCTGAGGCACGCTGTATTTGTGTCGTGAGAAAGGCTTTGTCGTAACCACGATTGGCAAGGTAGTTAGTACGCTGTTTGTAACCCTCCTTGCTGGAAAAGATGCGGCGAAGGCGAAGTGCAAGGCTGTAATGAATAGAGCGTTTAGTGTGATGAGGATGACAAGATGAAATGACAAGATACTGGTGTTTGTCAGTAGGTTTAGAATTCATAGGTCAGTTTCCATGAAGCCATCCTTGACTGAAACCATGACATCAAGGAAAGGGATATTGTTAAACGAGTGTGAGCATGTAAATTTTATGGTGGAGTTTAAGTTGTTAAGCGTTAAGATAATCGACAAATAGCTACAGTTTCTCTAGACCTTCAGTCCAGATCATGAAGATATCTACGATGAATCAGAGCCATAATAATAGTTGATAGGGAGCGCGAAGAAGAGCGTCGTGTTCGAATTTTCCAAGAAATAAGTTGGCGTACGACCGAGCGATTCTAGTGCCCATAGCTGTGCCGAGGTTTTGAAGATAATGCATGCTGAGAATTAAGAGTAAATTTGTTCATGGTGAGGGTAACACAAATGAGGTCGCAAATGGCTTCTGTAGAAAAAGGTGTTTATTAGCTCTATCAATTTAAGCGATATATTTTTGTTAGAGCTCAATTGCCAGAGACTGATAATATCAACAATGCCCGAGCCACTCTCCCGGTTCTTTTCGGTGCAACAGCAGGAACTGCACCACATGGCCCTATATTAACCACCGCCGTGACAATTATACTTTTACTACTCTACGGGTGAAACCTACGAAACCAAATCTCACATTCCTTGTAATCTTTTCAACATGTTCAATGTTATCTGCATGATTCAATGCCGCCTTTGTAATTTGCAATATATTGGGGAAACTAAACGCCGCCTCCAGGACTGTTTTAATGAACATAGACTTCCTATACTTAACCGGCCTTCGGTAGTCGCATCCAAACCGCAGTTTCAGAACACTCTCTCAGCAATAGCCATTTAGATCTGAACACGATTGTCTGAGGAAAGCAAGTGAGGCGCACCCCATTCATAAAGCCAAAACCATCGAGCCTCTGGGAATGAACAAACGTGACGAATTTTAATCATTCTTTATCTATTTTTCTTAGCAGCCACACCTTACCACGTCATACCATATAATTTCCGTTTATTATTTTACAGTAGCATATATTCTGTATATTCGTGGTTTTCCGTAATAAAAAGGATGAAGCCTGGTAGTGGCCACTCGAAATGTTGTATACCTTATGAGGCTACGGAGGAAGCTTAAGGTGGCTCCCTAGAGTATTTACTAATAACCCCAGCTATCTAGCATACGATACGGAAGGAAATCCAGTTACTTTGTCTTTGCGATTTGGTTCACGAAATTCACCGCTAACTTTACCCTTGTAAAAAGGCTCCTTTATCAAGTTTTATTTTCTGGATTAAGGCTGTTGCCATGGCATCATCGCATCCCTAAACAGGCAGTTATTTCGTCATTTTTGATCATTTTTTCTTACGGTTTCGCCAATATTTTGAAATTTGTAACTTTTCTTAATAGAGGAGTTTAGCTCTTACAGATTTTAACAAGAAAAGGACAGTACAAAGGAACTGCAACTGTTAAGAAATGAGGCGATTTTTAATCTGGGGTGGGTACTCAATCATCATGCATTACCTCTTCCTCTCTAGTCTCCTACGCAGCCGTTTTTGTATCGATCTTGACTTCACGCAACGAGACGAAAATAAAAGCTGCGTAAGTGAATACTTCCTCTATACTTCTCCTCATGCCTCCTTTAAATAATTTCTCTTTCCAGACTAAACTGAACCGCACGAATCGAATGGAATTCATAAAAATATTGAGCACGTGTATAATATGAAGATCGGAGCATTTAATCCTGAGAATATAAATTGACAAAATTTCGTCCATTTTCGTTAGGACCTCTGGTAAAAATTTATTTTTCAAAAATTAGGTGTGGTCCACGGGGTTAACTCATTGACTGGGTCCACAAACAGGCCCATGGACTAGGTCCACAGAGGTAGTCCTTGCATGACTTTGTACACCTTATTACATGAAATTTTCGCGACACGCTAATTTCTAGAAGTTCGCGATACAAAAAAAATCGCGAAATAAAGTGACGCGAACTATGAGTGTCGCGAACATAACATGACGCGAAAATTAAGTGACTGTAAGTGCTGTAAACGTATGCGGCTTAGTACTGGATCGTTTTACTGCCATCATCCATCCTCTAAGATACATTACTTTGATGACTCGCCCTCGAATTATTCAAGTTATTTCCTTCTCTTGGGTTCTACCAGTTAGTTTTAATGTGCTAAAAGTTATCCTTTATACGTTTTATTTCAAAACATTACCTGTCCCTTTTATTTGGCTGAGTATTATTTTCTTCGAGTTCCTAGCAAGTGTTGTCTTAATGCTCTTCTTTGTATCAATGATATTTCACGTACGCAGGCATGGTCGGTTAGCACGCATCGTAGCAGAGCAGTTACGTTTTAACCATCAGATGTCGTTTAAAATCCATCACGAGAGGTCTGCAGTAATAATGATGGGTCTTGTGATAGGAGTGTTTCTTGTTTGCTATGGGATGTATCTGCGTTGCAGTTTTACAATACTATTCCACACCACCTCATGTAAAGATGAAAACTACAAAATTCCTTTCTTGGTTTTAAACTCAGCCATTAACCCTCTGGTTTATACCTTTTTCAAAAGAGACATAAAGAAAGAGTTTAAAAGACTTCTTGGACCTGTGTTTTAATTAAAAGAAAATATTAGTAATGTTAACGAAAGCCTACCACTTTACGAGCGTACGCGTAACTCGTTGTTGTAGGATGTAGGTCTTTTAAGACGGTGAAAGGCTTGAGAAGAGACTGATAAATCTGTGAATCTTGGACTGAAAGCGAATTGAAATTTGGAAAAATGGCGTATGAGGAGAGAAAACAAGAACATTTGTACGCTAAGAGAATTTAAAATACTAGAGAAAGGACTGAGGATCAAGATTCACACAGTAGCGGGAGGCGAAAGTCATATCACATGGAACTTTTTAGTATCACATTGTAAGAGAATAATTCAATTTATGTCCACATCCTGCTAGCAAAGCCTTTGTTTTGGCGCACTGTTAAAAAAGAAATACTCTGCATGAATCGAGTAAGATCATTCTTGAGGGTCTCTGATAGGTTTTTTGGGATCCGGGATTTCCCTTATTTGCTCGGGATTGGGGATTTTAAAGCAAAATCGGACAAGATTCGGGATGGAAAGTATGCGTGAGAGTTAGAATGCCGAAAATAACCCTCGGCTACGGGATTACACGAAATTTTGGGTCGGGATGACAGGATTGAAGAACCCTACAGTGGGGACCCTCATGGTTGAGGGTCCCCACACATGTTCAATACTCTCGATTAGATTCCAGTGGGCAAAGCCTGGAGTCCAATGGAGTCTGTTCGAAAAATGAAACCGGAAGTACAGTCGAGTCCACTTGAATTACCGGAAGTCTAGCCATAAGATGAAACTAGCAGTGTAAACAATACTTTGAGGAGGGTTGGAAAGTCGTCCGATGGAGTCCATCGTCTGCATATGTAACACATCGCATTCGTTAAGTCCTCAGTCGAGACTGGCACGCTTAACATGCAACATATGAGTCGGAAAGTCGAAACAAACACGCTATACATGTGAGATTACTGCTCGTTCTTAAAGCGATGAGCCGAAACAAGCACGCTACAAGTCGTTTATTAAGAGGCAATTTTACCTTCTCGCTTCTTTTTGCATAACAGAAACGAAAAAAGCTTCTTCTAATAAAAGCTGCTTTAACTCTTGTTGTAATTTGTAACACCCGTCTCAGTTTCTAATAAAGAACGGTCCAATTAAGAATACAGTGACAGCGCAATTATTTACTGAACCAAGTTAACAATAAATTGCAGTAAAACATGAAGCTGGACTTTGTCCCGTTTGGTTGACTGATATTTTTGCGCTATTGCCACATGACGTTCCCCAATTTCTCTACCTCTTGCTAGCGTAGGAATTCGTCAAGTTAATAATTGGAACCCTGATATTTATGCAAAATGTTAAGTTTTCAAGTATATAATCTCGACGTGCGCGTCTAGTGTACGCAGCGCGAAAACTGGGCGTGGTCTCAGTGTTGCAATCTCGGTTGCTCTATATTTCTTACTATATACCTGACATCATGCAGTTGACGTCACGAAGCAATTTGTGTTTCCAGGCAACATCAGGCGCATTATTATGTTTTATTCATGAAATGCTGATTCTGCGACGGTTTATTCAATCACGAACAATTTCTCATGCAAATGACACACGAAAGCAAGCATAACAACGTTAGCTGGATTCACCAAGTGGCACCGAGTTCACTCATGCATGTACACGAATAACTATAATTGAACACTTGCAGAAATTATTTGGTACTTTTTACAGGGATTCAGTGCTATTGAAGGCAGGCATATTCAATAATCATAAGTCATAAGTCATGAGTTATGAGTGTAATTTCCTCTTCGAGTTCCTTCCATGTGTGCTGTTAATACTCTGCTTTGTATCAATGATATTTTTGACGCACGCGGGCATGATCAGCCAGCACGCACCTTGGCAAAACAGTTACGCTTTAACCATCAGGTGTTTTCATGTTGCATCTCACATAAACAGGGGCGTAACCAGGATTTTTTCGGGGTACGCAGTAATTCTCCAAATGCCCTTATCCCCAACCCCTGCTCAATGTTCCAAAAGGTGAGATTATTGTAAGTCGAAGCGTTCTTACTGTATACAGCTGTTTCGAGAAAGGTTGTCGGAAGAAATGCGCACGTGACAATCCCGAAAGGTAATATGGGATATGATCAATACACTGTTCGTAACGACTGAAGCTGTCAAACCTGCTTTTGTTGCTTTCCTTTAATACTCGCAAACATATGTCCGTGGCCTCCCGTACCATTCTTTCAAATTTCTTTGAAGAACATTGCCCTCAAAGCCACCCAAAATACCTTTCGGGATTGTCGTGTGCACTTCCGACAACCGTTGTCGAAATAGCTGTATGAAATGACGTGACTGTGTAAACTGAAAAAAATCTTTATCGTCTTTTTGTAATCATGGACTGAAGCACGTCAATCGCTTTTGCTAACTTAAGGCTTAAAATATATCATTTATATTTATTAAATATTTGGTCCACCAAAGGAAGCCGACATTGGAGAGTAATTAAAACTAAAAGTTAAACAATCCGTTGTTAAATATTGATCCAAACTGTGAATAATTATATTTTACCTATCTTATATCCTTTGCTTTTTTTTCATTATTCGCTTTCGTATCTTATTTTATTATTAATTTTTCCACCCTCGACTTTTTCAGGTACGCACGTACGTACCTTGCGTGCGTACAGGTAGCTACGCTTGCTACGCTCCTGAGAAATGTATACTTTTTAATTTTTGATATGCGATTTTACCTTCTCGCTTCTAATTAGATAACGGAAATGAAAAAAAAAATCTTTTAACAATTTTTTCCCCAACTTTTGCCGTAATTTGTAACACCTGTCGCAGCTTCTAATAAAGAACTGTCGCAATTAGGAATACATTAACGTAGCAATATTAAGCGAGCCAAATTAACAATGAATTGAGATAGGAGGTAACACACGTGACTGACGTTTTCTATCGTTTAATTGAAAGATGTCTTTGCACTATTGCCATGTAACAGTCCACATTTTCTCTCTTCCTACCGTTTATTAAAAAAACCGATAATTACAAATAAAATACGACAGCATGGCTAATTACAAATAGCGCAAAAAATATTGGAAGCAGGAAGTTATAATACAGTGCAGTTATTAAAATAAGGACGATTTAAAGAACTAATAGAAACACGCATCGTAAATGATGTTATGGGCGCCCACTCTTAAATAAAACCTTTTGTCTAATGAACGCCCCTCTTAAGATGTCAAGCAGTTTGTATTAGACGCCCCTCGCTAATAACGCCCCCTGTCTAATAGACACCCCCCCCCCCCGCAATTACTCTGAAACGCTAGGAAACGGCAAAAAGGAGTAAAATCATTCAATTTGCCGGTTCAGTTTCTTGCTTAACAATGTATCTTGTTCAATGGCAAGCTCAAAATAAGGATAAACTAATAATGACAACATATAATGATCCGAAACATTCTAACATCGATCAAAGTCGGAGATTTGGAAGAGGGATATGGATCTCTTGAAGTCGTTTCAGACGTATCAATAGATGGAGGGACCAGACATTCTGCTATTTACAGTTAACTCTCTTGATACTGAATTTTCGCCCAAAACATACTAGTTTAACTGAGCTTCAAACGCTTTCCTCTTTTAAAATCCCTCCCTCTATTAAACGCTCCCTCTTGGCCATTGGACCCCTAAAATTAAATAAACGCCGCGGGTGTCTATAAAATCATTTACGGGTATTAGCAAATATGACCCTCAAATTCATGCAAAGATGTAAATTATAATACTCAATTTTTTAGTTAATCAGTATAGTTGACAAGAACTTCCTTTAACAGTTAAGATGGAGACCTGGTTTTGGATTCTTGGTTGGTTTCTTTCATTTCAAACCATCATTAGAAATGGATTTACAATCTTCCTCGTTTGCAGCAGACGAAATCTCCGCACCGAAACCAACGCATTTATTGTTTCACTTGCGGTAGCGGATTTCTGTGTCGGTTTGAGCGTTATTCCTTCTCTGTTCTTCTGCGACATTACAAACACCTGCTACTGGTCTCAACATTTGCTATCTTGGTCATCTTGGGTGAATATTATAAGGTGGTTGCTTAGTAACAAGTCTGTTGTAAACTTATGCGTCTTAGTACTGGATCGTTTTATTGCCATCGTTCATCCTCTGAAATACATTAATTTCAGACTCGCTGTCGAATTATCCCAATTATTTTCTTCTCTTGGGTTATACCAGTTAGTTTTACGCGCTAAAGATTACCCTTTCTTTGTTTTATTTCAAAACAATACCTGTCCCTGTGTCACTTATTTGGCTGACAATAATTTTCGAGTTTCTTCCATGTGTTCTGTTAACATTCTGCTTTGCATCAATGACATTTCACGTAGGCAGGCATGATCAGTCAGCACGCACCTTAGCAAAAAAGTTACGTTTTAACCATCAGATGTCGTTAAAAATCCTCCACGATAGGTCTGCAGTAATAATGATGGGCCTTTTGATAGGAGTGTTTCTTGTTTGCTATGGGATGCATCTGCGTTGGCGCTGTGTTTAAAAGAACATTACAAAGTTAACTAAAGTTTACCACTTGACGCGCGTAACTCATTCTTGTAAGATGTAAGTCTTTTATGAACGAGTGTGAAAGGCTTGAGCAATTCAGTAAAAGACTGATAAACGTGTGAGGCTTGGACTCAAAGCGAATTGAAATTTGGAAAAAATGGCGCATTAGGAGAGAAAACAAGAACCTTTGGACCCTCAGAGAATACGAAATTCAAGGGAAAGGACTTAGGATCAAGTTTCACAGGTGGTGTGAGACGCAAGTTCTTATTCGATGGAACTTTTTAGTTTCACATCACGAGAGTATAATTTTGTGTTCACACTGGCTGCTACCAAAGCCCGCTTTGCTTCACTTGCTCGATTTTGGTATACTCGAGCAAGACTCTGCATCAATTGAGTAACAAAGATAGCGTGAGCATGTGCCGCTTGTTGCTTGGATACTGTTCGGACGCCCGCTTAATAGCCGTGCGCTTTGTACAGCGGGCTCATCGGTTATGACCATCAATTTATCAATCTGAAACGGATGTTCGCACTCTGAATACCAGTTTGACGGGAGAAAACAAGATTGACAAGTTCAGAAGTTCGAGGTTCGGTGACTTCATAAGGCTTGGTGCCAATTTTCCTCCGCACCGAGGTTAATTTTGTTCGTTCAACAGTCTTCGTAATCAACTCTGTTAACGGCGATAGATTCCTAGAATGTACCGAACCGAACTGAAAGATTAACTGTACGATATTCTTGTTATATGAATTAATTTCCTTGTTGAGAAAAACACAAAGAAATGTAGTAGTTTTGTAATCTTTCCGTGCATGTTTATTTCAGGTTAGTCTTGCAGGTGTGACTGAAATGATAAAATCGTGTAAAGTGTAAAATGACTTGTTATGGAGAAAAAAGGTATAGCTATCAAATGTGTCACCTTTTTCGCCCCGGTTACACGAACGTAAGTCTCATTTTCCTTTAAATTCTGTAGAAATCATGACAAAGAAATAAATATTGGTTGCTAAGGAAGCCCAACAGCAAATTGGAACTAAGAGTTGTTTGTGGCTGGAACGATATTAAAATCGTTGCATACCGAATGAATAATAAAACCTTCCAATTTAGCAGTACGAAATAAAAATGCAGTAGAAGGTATTTAACTAAACAATATTAATAATTGATTGATAACTGAGCTAGTGAAACAGTTGTTAAAGATCATATCGACACCCGAGGCGTCTTGCGCCATGTATATATATATATAGTGAAAGGATTATAAAATAACAAGGTTTTATAAATAATCAATAAACTGTTGGACAGGAAGTTTTTGTGAAGAGGGTGTTTTTTCCACAGTTGAACTGCCTTTAAAAACTTATCGACATTGTGTTTCTGTTTCACATCGTGGTCAGTTAATTTTTTTTCTTGCTCTGTTTATTAACTGAAAACCTTTGCATGCTCTGTTTAGTACAGCAGTGGAATTAAACGGAATAGACTGCATGCATGGGCAGATTACCGTGATGCTGCTGGCTCATGTCTGTCTTGTTTTATTTTCTCGCTTAGGAATAGTTAACGACAACGGTGGAAACGTTCTCAGGCAAATTTAGTGATATTAGAGACAGCCTTTTTATTTATTAATGCACTTTTGTAGTAATTTGTAGCAGACCTGTCGCAATTTGTAAGAAATACATGATGTCGTCGGCTGCAATTTAGACTAATATAAAGTGAAGGTATATTTTTTTTTAATCAGCTAAGGTCTCGGTTAATTCCATCTGTTATAACTGAAAGACCGAAATGGTTTAGTTGTAAAGAGAATAATTAATTAAGATCCAGCCAGATAAGAGCTATTTAGATTAAGATCGGCAATGTTGGAATGTCCCTTTCCATTTGACAAAATTGTTGTCTCAAATACCGCTCTTTTGTGGCAACGATAACCAAACGCACTGTAACTTTGGTCAGGTCGATGTAGTTCCATTGGGCACGTGGAATTTCCAACATTTCAACCAGAATTTTTGTTGTATTGAAAGCGCCCATTGGCTTTGAATTACAGCACGCAACTATCCTCATTTTCCTACCAACTGTGTTGCGACAGCTCGGTCAGTTACCTACTGCGCATGCGAAACACATCATTATTAGAAATTACCAAGTTTATGACAAAGTAGGACAATAAAAAGGACTTCTGTCCAGTAACATACATCTGCCAGAGAATAGCTCACAACCTCCTGACATTATTGCGAAGAGGATATTTTTTTTTTATCTGTAGTTAATAAGAACCTCTCTTAACTGCCGTTACTACGGATGGAGACCTGGTTTTGGATTCTTGGATTGGTTCTTTCGTTTCTTGCCATCACTGGAAATGGATTTGTGATCTTCCTCGTCTGCAGCAGACGATATCTCCACACCAAAACCAACTCGTTTATTGTTTCACTTGCAGTAGCGGATTTCTGTGTTGGTTTGAGCATTATTCCTTCTTTGTTTGTATGCGACGTTACAAAAACCTGTGACTGGCCTCAGGCTTTTCCTTCATGGAAAGATGTCGTAAGGTGGCTGTTTAGCTACTTGTCTGTTTTAAATTTGTGTTCTCTGGTGCTCGACCGTTATATCGCCATCTTAAAGCCTTTTAAATACATAACTTTCATGACTCGATCTCGTGTTATTCAAGTGATAACTTCCTGTTGGATAGCGTCATTTACGCTGGTTGCGCTCAAGACCGCACTTCGGCTTTGCTGTGAGACCCCTCTGACCAGTATCGTTGCAGTTGTGGTTTTAATGATTTCCATGGAAATCTTTCCATGCGTTCTGCAGATACTCTGTTTTGTGTCAATGTTAATTCACGTATGGAAACAAGATCGGTCAGCACGCACCCTAGGACGGATATCTTTTAAAACCCGTAACGAGAAGTCTGCAGTAATAATGATGGGTATTGTGATAGGAGTGTTTGTTGTGTGCTACGGAATATATTTACGTTGTAGTCTCGTAGTACTATCCGACACAAATGCATCATGTAAAGATGAACAATACAAAGTTCCTGTATTGGTTTTAAACTCGGCCATTAACCCACTGTCTTATGCTTTTTTCAAAAGAGACATAAAGAAAGAGTTTAAAAGGCTTATCAGTCAGGTGGTTTAATTTAGGCGGTAAGGTAACCGTGTAGAGCCTTCTACTTGATCATTTTTGAAGGACATAGATCTTAATATTAGTTGGAAGAACTGCCCTTGATAGCAGATTGTGTCAGGCATCGCAGGCGGCAGTTTTGTGGCCGGCAATTCCCTGGCGATTTGTCTCAAATCATAGTTTGGAAGCACTGGTGTTTAAGGAGGGTACAAGAACCAAAGGACGATGAGAATACAATCCAATAGGGACCTTACTATCCGAAAACAGAGACGCCAATGAATACGTCACTGAAAAATAGACTTCGCGTCCAATGAAACTTTTTTCTCGGTCATACCAAGTCGCCCAGTGAATTGAAAGTACGTTGACATGTGTTAGGTTGGAACTGAATAGCGGAGGCTGTAGTGTATTAAAACAGAGAGAGAAGTAGTAAATAAATTTATCGCCTTGTCGTTCCAGTTCTTAAGCCCGTCAACTAAAAAAAAAAAAAACTATTCCACGTTGTAGTCGTGTAGGGACAACGAAGAAATGTAAAGAAAAGCGTGATGCACGTGCCGCCAGAGCTGTCGTTTTGCTCACTCAAGCCTGTTCTATTTTAGGCGTTCTCCTTGCCGTCGCCGTCGTAGTTTCGGAAGGTCCCTACATATCTCAGATGCTCTTGAAACGGCGATTCCGAGGTATGGACGAAATTTCTAATTGAAACTGTTTGTTTCAAACCAAATTAAAGTATTTCTTTTTCCTTACTTCATTTTCCACATTAATTATTGTATTCAACTCTTTTAAGTAGTTTCCTAGAATTTAAAGAAGCATGAAGTATTAAACGTTTTTGTTTTTGTACCACAAAAGAATTGTATTATTTTTTTACTTTCCTGAAAACTGATAGTTAATTAACCTCAGTCCATGCCAGGTGTGAATGAAATATTAAAAACTTTAAAGCGATCTGTATGATCCATACAGGCAACATGGATAATTTTTTTCAGATTCCCATGATCCCTTATGGTGCGGCGAAAAGCCATCTTTTTCTTCAAACAAGTTTTAACGTAGTTTTGCCTTAAGTTTAGAGAACGTCTGTGGACGATTTTGTAATAATTTGTAATATGCGTCTTGATTTGCAGTACGTAGTAGCTGTTCTAATTTGCATTCGGAAGGATCCTCAATTACTTTCCTGTCATGTTCAGGGCGTCTCCGTACCAATGAAAATAAAGCTAAATAAGTTGACTGAAAACAGGTATTGCAAAAACGAAACATAAATTCAAATAAACTATTGCAAAGCGATTTATTTCTGCGTCCCACATGATGAAAAAGTGACGCTAAAGTTATTGCCGTCTGAATAACACCCTCCGAGTTCTGCTTAATTCCTCATACCCCACGAAATCCGAATTCATTAATTGCTTTATTATTCATTCAAAATAATTCCTAGTTTAAAAACATAGCTAAAACATGCTTACCTGCATCGATGTTAAGTTTATCTTCGATAGTGTGCGTTCAGGTTTGTCCAGCTCCGCGAATATTCTCCAAATAGCAGCCAGTGTCACCCTCCGAGTTGTCTTCTTGCTGTTTTTGCTATGTTTTAGCCATTATTTCGCCTAGTTCCAGCTGTAGTTCTTACTCTTGAAAAAAGTGAAGTGTCCGCCATTTTAGTTTTCACAACGAAAACAACTCATCCTCGTCCCCAGGTCTTCTCAG